AGATGGAAATCAGCAGACTCAGGGAAGGCTAAAAGTCAAAAGGTTTGGATTTCCAAATTCTAGTACTTATTCACAAAGCCCTAAACTTCAGTGTAACAAGTCAAGATAATAATACCTTAATGGATTGTTCTGGGAAGATCAAATCAAACAACATAACATGCATTAGAAACAAAGTAAGTGTAATTGAGTGCAAAGAACAAATCTGGACCTACTACTAGTAAAGATACTTAATAAGACCAGTCCACAGGGTAGGATATCAGCCCAAGCTGGACGTCATTGTCCACGGCTTTATATAGGAATGGAGGTACCAGAGGCAGGTGTGTTTCCTCAGAACACTTGACATCAGGGATTAGCAGCCATGAAATTATAATATAGGCATATACGTGGGAAATTGTAACTTTATGCTAATATGGCCACATTAATTTTATACTTGATCAAAACCAGAATGATTTGGAGTTTAAGAGCATCAGCTCTGGAGTTGTGTTGCCTGAGTGTGAATTTGAACTCTGTGGAACTCTGAGCAAGTTTCTTAACTTCTTTGGTAGCCAGCTTCTAAGATGGTCCCCAATGATCTCTGCTGCTAGTATTCATGCCCTTATGTAATGCCCTCTCACACTGTATCAGGGCTGGTTTGTGCGAGCAATATAATACAGAAGTGCTGGCATATCACTTCTGAAGCAAGGTCATAAAAGGCTCTGTGGCTTCCTATTTGGCTGCTCTCTTGGATCCTTCATTCTACGGGCAGCCAGCTACCCTAACATGCCATGGAAAGGCCCACATGGTGGGGAACTGAGATGTCTTAGCCAAGAGCCACATGAGAGAGCTTAGAAGTGGAACCACCAGCCTTAGTCAAGCTTTCAGATGACATCTTGATCAAAATCTCGTAAGAGATCTTTAGCTAGAACCTCCCACCTAAACCACTGCCAAATTCCTGACCCACAGAAGTTGTGAGATAACAAGTGTTTGTGGTTTTAAGTTTCAAGGTAATTCATTATGCAGTAATAAGTAACTAAAGCACTCTCTCAAAGTAAAATTTACATTTCTGTAAAAATGGAGATGATAATAGTCTCTCAAAGGGTTGTCCTAAGGATCAGAGGAAAAGCATATGGAGAGCCCTCTGCCCAATACCTGGCACAGAGTGAACACGTTAGCTATTATTACATGTTTGCATACTTTCTCTTCCATAAGCAAGGTGGTCCTGTGTGTATTTATGGCCACATTTCCCATGGGCATCAGCACTTTAAGTACACTGATCCAGCTCTAATCAGTCATTTTATGTTGTTTTTCTCTAGCCATCAACTGGGCAAACAGTCTTGCCTTTTTCTCTCTGATCCACTTTGGGATGAGAGGCAAGATGTATAAGAGAAATTTAAGGCACATACTGTGGCTAGGGAGCCACAATAGCTGGCCTGAAAAAGACCAACCCACTGACCTCCTGAGCACTTGACAAAGGTTGACAATAGTTAACTGAGCTAGCTGGAGTCAACCCGAGCTTTTACAGAGCTCACTGTTTAGAAACTGTCCCCTGAAATATACAAAGCTTTCATTCAGCCTCATTTATGTGCTTTTAAACCTGGAATAGATACTGGATTTCCTCAGGCAAACTTCATAGATATTATCTTTTCTTTGAGTATTCCTGTCTCCTTCACATCTGGGTTTCCTTTTATTACTGATGGATGGGTGAGCAGTCAAATTTCCCATGCACTGAAAGAAGATACTGAGGAAATTTACTGCTAAAGCAGTGAAAAGAACAAGAGAAGAACAGGTACGTTTCTATCCCATAATAAAACTCAACAATAAAACTATTTGACAAATAACAAATACAATAATAAAACTATTTGATAAATCTTTCAAAAGCCCAGCCTATAATACAATGTGAAAGGGGAAATAAAGGGCTCACCAATATTGAGTCAGAGATTTTATTACCACTAAGCCATGAGGATTTCTATACTTTCATTATATTTGTATATTTTACTGAGGATTCTCTGGGAAACTGAACGTTTAAATGTAATATCCTTCTATAATAGGATATATGAAGGGTTTAAAACAAAATACAATCCTTTATTATACATACAGAAGGAGGTGAGCTTTTAATTTTGCTTGATGACATGCATAATTCCTGACCTCAGGGAGTTTTTATTCTACAAAAAAATACAGAAGTATTACGCTTATGCCTCTCTTTCACTCTCTCTCTCCTCTGGGTGTGTTTAGTTCCGCTAAAGTCAGTGTTTCATATGGAAACACTTAACCTTCTCTTAAACCAACCTCTCAGAGGATGAACTTGGGTTTGCTCATTTCTTCCTCCTTTCTTTTGGTTGTTTATTTCTTAGCTTTCTGCATGATCTATCAAAATCTTCCTCCCTCCCCTTCCCTCTCCTTTCCTTCCTTCCTTCCTCCCTCCCTTCCTTTTATTTCCATTTATCTTTGCTCTCTCCCACTTCCTATCCCCTTTTCCTTCCTAGTACTTTTTTTTTTTTTAACTTTAAACTTAGATTGACAATATGGAGAACACTTCTTGGGTGATGACTCTGGATTCTTTGTAAGAATGCTGCTCTTCATTGTGGCACAGCCCAGGAATGATATCGTGGACTTCATGATAATGCCACATTCCTTAGTTTTCATCTCTGCCCCTCTAAAGCAGGAGTTGAAACAAGAGGATTTCCCTTTCCTCCTCAAATATACGTACATTCCAACTAAGAAATATGAGAAGAGAACTTGAGTGTGTAAGCATAAACAAAGCACCCCATGATACCACATATCCACCCAGTTGCCCAAGGGCAACATCCTTAGCCACCCTCCTCTTCCTTGTATGTTTAATCAATTACCAAAGTCTAATTGGTCACATTTCTGAGCAGCCCTATAGTCTCCAAATTCTGCTGTGCACCGTCAGTCTTCTAGGACACTTCCCTGCTTCCCCTCTAGCCTTGCCCTGTTCAACCCCTGTACCCACTGCCCTGCCCAACAGTCCAGGCATGCTCACAATTCTCCTGGAGTTCTTCATCATCTATGGTTAAAAATCAAACTTCTTTCGCTGCTTCCCACTCTCCTCTTCTGCTAGGAGCCCTTTTATAATCCAGTTAGAGGATGTGCCCTTGTGTCTCTGTATTGACTCATAAGGCATTTATGTTTTCTGGAAAACCTTATCCCCAGAAACTGATAGTAACCATTCAAGCATTCCCACAGAAGAAACTTCTTATGAGAAGACCTTCCCAGAAGTACTCCTTCTAATCCACAGGCAAGTCTGTTCTGCTCAAGCCTCTCTAAATTATCTTATCCAATCATAATACTTAGATGGAGACACAGGAATCTCTGGAGAAGTCCCCACCAAAAGAATGTTCTTGAAATATTTGTCCAAATTTCATGCGGGGGAAGAGACGAGGTGTGGTTTTCAGGAAATGGCAAGACAGCCCCTCTCTAGTCTGCATGCTCCCCCGGCAAAGCAAAATCCCTGTAGTTAACCCGACCAACCCCTAGAAGGCACTTGGCTGACCCAGTCTCCTAGACCATCTCACTGCCCATTTCAAGTGGCTTCATCAAAGTTTGGTGTTCCTTCCAAGTTTCCTCAAGGAAAGTTCTGATAGTTACAGCTTTATACCCATTCTTCCAGTGATGCTGTGGTGTGCTTCAGTGATGTTCTGGAGACAAATGAGCTATCCGTTTTAAAAAAAAAAAAAAATGCATGACTTTTTGCATATTTGTTTCCCACTAGCTATAAAGTTCTTGAGGTCAGAGATCTTTAAAAATTTCAAGCCTTGTATTTGCAGCAAGTAGCACTGTGCCTGGGACATAATGTAAGCCACGTGAATATTTATTGATCGTATGGATGATCCATTCTTTTCTTACAGCCAGGCTTTGTGTGTGTGGTTGTTTAAACATACAAAGTATCATTTCAAAAAAACAAGAGTCAAATATAAGTGAGCTGATGTCTGCCATTTAATTGTTTAAAACGATGGTAACCATTGCTTTCTTAACTAAAAGTCATTATCAATAGGTCAGCACACTCAGTTACTTAACCTTTGGGACCTCTGCCCCAGTCCTGGAATTGCCAGGCAAACATAGTCCTTGATAGCTTCACAAACTAATTCTGAGCTGTCACCTTGAAATCTGGAGAAGACCCCTCAGTACGTGAGCACTGCCTGCACATTTCCTGGTTAGATAGAGCATCCAGAGAGAATGCTTCAGTTGGCTGACTAGAATGTGTCTTACTGAAATGAAAGTAAATATTTACTTAGAAGGAAAGTAAGGCCACAAGAGACCCAAACTAGTTGTTCTCACTTGTTTGCACCCAATAAGGTGTATTCCATTACATGAACATTTTATATCAGGAACTAGAGCTGCACTGGGTCAGGAAAGCTAAAAGAAATGAAGGTGGCTTTCAATGAAAGAATCCACCACACATCACTGATCCCATCCCCTTCCGAATATTACCACGTACACCAGTTTTATGATTTACTCTGAAATACTGCTATAAGTGGTCAATAGTTATTTCCCTGCATCTCAACTCTCCAATTAATGACTTTCCATCGCCCTGTTAGGAAAAGAACCTGGGTTCCCCATACAGTCTTTTCTCAAAACTGTATCTTGGGAGTTTTCTTTCTCTCATTTTTCCCCTCCTTTTATGACAGCCTTACTACTGTTCGGGACCTTCAAACACCACATCTTCTCCTTTGAAGATCCCTACTAGGGAGGCTATTTTTTTTTTTTTAATTGAAATCATATTAAACATTTAACTTGGAATTTAATAAAAAGAAATCCTAAGGCTTCTCCTTAATTTCAGGAAGTGTGTATTTATGATACATAAAATGTGGCCGCTGCCAACCTTTTGCAGCCTGAACGCTGGAGACCCCGGGAAGGGCATCTAGCCACGACCAGGGAAGCCTCAGCTACAACCTGGTGCACTGGTCCAAGCCCCCAGCAAGATCCTTAGCTCTCGGTGTGGTAAGGTAGAACCCGATCCCGGTCTCCAGTTGTCTTATCTTTTTCAAATGTTTCGAACTTACTGCCTTTGTTCAGCAGAACCACCGGCACGGTGATGATGGTGATGAGCGCAGCAAGCCCCAGCAGTCCCAGGAGCACCTTCCACAGTGTCTGCAGGCGGGTCAGATCGTGTCCGGTTAGAGCGAGCCGTCGAGCCCCAGCGCAGTAGAGGTAGAGGGTCGGGGCCCGCCCTGCACCCTAGGCAGCGGGGTTTGCCGATGGGCGTGCATTGGAAAGGGGGCACAGTGGGCTGGGAGGGTTTGGAGCGCGGAGGTTGCCAAGAGCGGTCGCCCTTGAACTTTTGGCCTCCAAGCACACTAGCGTTTGCTTCTCTACGCCTCCTGAACGTCAGAAGCCAAGTGAGGGAGAAGCCAGGTGAGGGTTCGAGCGAGCGTTTTATGGATGGCTCTCTGCGTCCTCCAAGGCTTGGCACCTCTTTCTAGCAGAAACCCCGGGGGGCGAGCGCCTGGCGGGAACTCGGGGAGGTCCCTTCACCTGTCGAGGGTGGCCCTGGAACTTCCGCCGAACAGGAGCCCTTGGTTCCGTTCCGCGAGCTTCGGGGTCACTTGCGGGAGAGTCTGGTGAAGAAGCACCTACAATTCGCCCCTGGGGTTAGGGAAAGGCGCTCCTCACTCACCTTCATGGTCGGCGTGTGCCCGGAACTGAGCGTTCGGAGCAGGAGCGCAGGCAGAAGTCAGGCAA